TGTATAAGAGACAGAAACATCCCAGTGTGTTTATTGTTGAGAAGGGTTTTTGAGGGGGAATTTATTCGAGGGAGGCAATTTTTTTTTGGGTGTAAAATGGATACGTATTTACTCAAATAAACCCCCCTTATTGTAAAGGGGGGGGGGGGTTTATAACCCCACTAAATGTGCTAACCCCACTGTAAATGTGAACTACAAAATATAATTACAGTCAAAATATGTTATTGCGTGATCATACAGACTTACTAATCCCAACCAGGTTAGAGAAAAAGTAGTTCTACTTGAGTAGAACATTAATAGAATGTGTTGAGATCTTGCTTTCCATTAGTTCTGTTTACAGTCATTTAGAGGGGTTTCCGGGGCATTTATTCGAGGGAGGCGTTTATTCCAAATGCAGCTCTGGAGGGGGTGTTTATTCAAAGGTGGGCATTTATTCCAATAAGTACAGTATATAATGCTTTAATTGTATTTCTTTTTTGCATTACGCAGTGCCAAAAAAAAATTTATCAGTATGACTAGTACATTGACAAAATAAAGTTTTATTGTATATTGTATAATGCTGTATTAAATTATTTATAGAATACATTTTGGAGTAAATATTTCCATATTGCCAGCCAAAATTATCACTGAAATAACTATTGTTTTTTTCTGTACATTTATATCAATTTGGAAAATCAATCAATATAATCTTTCACCTATGCAATAACAGACATTGATTGTCATAGTTGAAAACATTTTTTACATATTAAACAACTTTTTAATAAATTCTGAATGGAAATAGAAAAATTACTTTCAAAATTCTGATTCAACAAATAATTATGCTCACATGAACTTAATTTATTGTCATTTTTTAGTGTGGCCAAAACTTGCCAACAGTTTTTTTTAAATTTAATTTCAATAGTAATAATTCAATTCTAAGATAATGCACCCTTGTTAAAAAAAAACCACACAATTTATACCTCTAAAAATGTTGGCTCTCGGAATTGAACAACATTGTGGCTTATACTCTGGCTGTGGTACTTGTCATAACAAAATGCAAGTACAGTGAGCACAAAAGCAGTTAGCCATACCATGGATTTATACCTTATCTTAATTTAAAAGCTATTATTAGGTCATACAACTAGGAAATGAAGCTACCACTACTAAGTTTTTCTGGCTAAAAAGGCTGACCAATCAATCAGTGAAGTGTTTAACAGGGAGTGCAACAGTACTGCAGTATAAGACATGGAATGCCACAAGCATTACAGGGTGTAACCATGGAGGTATAGTGCTACAATTGGATTGGATTGGATTTATTCAGTGTAAACACCAAGGATAGCCTATGAAAGTCTAGAAGAAGACTTATATCCAGTGGGGTCCTTCTGGTGGTAATTGGGCAGTACACTGGGAGACAATTCCCTACTCTTTTCCGAAGAGCTATTATAACTTTTTTTTCAGCCCACCAGCTGAAATAGAAGGAGAGGCAGCGATGGGAATTGAACCGGGGACCTAGAGATCTCCACGATTCAGCACACACACATTGGCTACCGCCACATTAGCCGACTGAGCTAAGCTGCTTCTTTCATAAGACCTCAAATGCCAAATAAAAGAGTATTACATGTTGTAAATAGGAGTGCTACAACAAGACATCAACTGTCAAGTACTAGTATTACAGGGTGTAACCATGAGACATGGTGCTACAAGACATCAACTGCCATCAGGTTGTAACTGGGAGTGCTACAAGAATATATCAGCTGCCAGGTACAAGTATTACAGTGTATAACCATGGAGGCATGGTACTACAACAAGACATCATATGCCAAGTACAAAGTATTACAGGGTGTAACCATGGATGTATGGTGCTACAATAAGACATAACTGAGATGCCACAACAAATTATCAACTACATCAACTATACCTGGGTGCCACAACCAAATGGCCACAACAAGGCACCAACTACAAGATTACAAGGTGTAAATGGGGGCTCCCCAGCAAGTGCCAACTACAAGCATTATAAGGGTGTTCATGTGATGCCATTATGAGTATTTATTATTCTTATACACAATGTTAGTACTTTCTATCCCTTCAAAAGATGGTCTGCACATTTTTCATGAACTAACTCATTCTTGGCTTGGTATTTTATAGGACAGAATGACATCAACAGTGACTTGGTACATGTACTTATAAAAATTATTAAGATTATTAGTAATGACTCTAGGCCAAGGACTCAATACATACTGGATTCTTGACAATTATTATTATTCTATTATTGTATTTTTCTGATTGTCTGTTTTCTTGCCATTCCTACATTGGTTCTGCTTGACCACTGTTTCTGGATATATAGCAATTTCTGTTTTTCCTTTGTTTTGATAATATTGTAAAGTGATTTTTAAACATATATTTTAATGCTGTAGCATTATCCACATTTTTCTCCAATTGCTGAAACATTTGTTGGTTTTAACATCTTGAAATATCTGTTTACCATAAAAAAAATCATCATCATTATCACAAGACTAGTACAGACCATACATAAAACATTGTATCTTGCCTTTTTTGTGTGCTTGGTATATCACCATTACCAACACATGACTTGTGTCGAAAAGAATAAAAATAATAATATGTAAAAAGAGGAAATAACATTTGTTCACTGACTCATCTATGAAATAAGAAAAAAATAAGAAATTATGTCAATCAAGCTATTGAGGTAGAGAGTCAACACCCCTTCTAGAAGTGGGACCTTGGTTCAAACAAGCATTTCCAACATCCACAAATCTTACCCCATTCTACTTTACATTCTACATTAACAAAACAAATTCATAGCAAACATAAATCACAGCTTGTACAGTACACCACACTTTTAAAAACATAAATTAGAAGCCTGCAAACACCTGGACTATGGAACGTGCCGATTTGTTCATATCTACTGGTACGTTGCCTATAGCAATCAAGAGATGTTGAAGACCCTCCTCCTACTACACTCAGATGGTAGACTTCAAATGAAAATAAATACAAAGAAACAAGGTCATGGAATATTGTTGCCAAGTGCAATCAGTCAAATCCTCCTGCCAGGAACGTTTATGCATTGTAAACGAAAGTTTTTGGAAAGAATATTGTGAACAAAAAAAAAACTCTTGTAAAAATATAAATGAATAAAAACAAATAAATCAAAAGCTAAGATAACCTGAGGTCAACAATTTAGATAATTTGAACACCAGTTTGCAAAAACAACCATATTTGCACAGATATTGTTGAGTTGATATATTAGAATGCTCCAAAATGAATATAAAATTGGGAAACCAGTAATTACGTAGATTAAAATCTGCAAATTCATTTTGAATCAATAATAGTGAAATAAATTAAATAAATTAAGTCAGGAATTGAGATAACCTTACCAACACCGTACCTTAATGAGTAAAATTATCCCTTGGGAACCAGTGACCAATAAAAAAATCAATAAAATAAATGAAAATTAGTTTGCAACACAGATAAAATAGCAAAATGGTTTGAATATGCAGGTTGTATGATTACTGTACTGATGTCTCTAGTGAATAAGTTTGTTGTTTCACATTCTCCACAGAACGCTCTGTATCCGCTCAGCTGTTCCCTATGACTAACATTACTGGCAATCCTTAATACAAAGGGGACTTTACGGTATCTTGGAAAAGAAACATTTATGTAAAAAACGCATGACTACATAATTAAAAATAATTATATACATTATCAATATCTTTTGCAGTGTACTTTTTCAGATATAAGATAAAATGTATATGGTGCTGGTACATTTTGCTGTTGAAGTCAATGAAAACTAATAAAAATCAGTTAAATAATAAGTATATATATAAAATTCACAACTATGATTAAAAGACATTATTTCTTATTAAAAATGGGAAAAAATATACCTGTAAAGATTCAAAATAAACATTATTTTTCAGATACTCAACATCATAATCATTCAGAAGTAGGGCCATACAAAGTTGATTGCTGTTTTCAAACATCTAGCTAAATCTACTTAATCTGTTTAATATCATTTTGAATCCAAAAGGGATTTTCTAGTTCAATGAAAAATACTTGAAGGATTAATGTAACATTTTGAAAAAACCTTGGGAATGTTTTTTTCAAGTTTTCCAACTCGAAAATGTAAATTCACACATGATCTTGGAAAAGGCAGAGACTTAAAGATGGATTAACTTAGAATAAAAAGTGACAGCATTAGAATATGATTTTTGTTTTGATATATGTTTTATGTTAATGCTTGCAAAGCACTAAAAGTTTTTTTTTTGTCTCATAGCTATAAGTGAAAATCCCAAGATTCAAATTATAAGCCGATGACCTCTAGGCAGATTAACCAGATCAAGATGGATTTATAGTGGATTAGGATAAGATGAGATTATTGATATTTGAATTATTACATGCTAATTTTAGACAAAACTTTAATAGTCACACAGGAGGGGGTATGAATATAATTGAGCATGTTTTATTTTAAACGTTTAACATTATAAGTAACAGGAAGGAGGATTGGTTTAGCAAACATTGACCTTAACATGACCTCAATCATAGCAAATTAAAGGGACAGGTAACAGATAAGTAATAAAAATTAAAGGATTTAAAGTCTGAAAATGGATTTATCTTTTAAAAACACACTTCTATGTTGTTTCTAGCCAAAGTAACATAACATAATTAGACACTAATCTCAGGTGCTCAGAGTCCACAGTAGCCATAGTCAAAGTAATACAATTAGACAATAATATCATGCTATAGAGGTTATGTTATTGAACATTGCTCTCTAGGAAACTCTTCTTTCATTTTCTATTAACAAGATACACATACCTGGCGTTAAATAAATCTTTAATAAACTGTAAGTTTAAACAATATTTTGTATCTCTGTCTAAACTTCATAAATAATAATGAATGCAAAGTCTTAACATGGATTTAAGAATAAGATCATTTTACCATTTATACTTTAAAATTAAATAATCATAAACATTGTTTTAAGATTTTCGATTGAAAAATATTAGGTGACATACCATATAAACTATAAGCTTCACAAAATATACAGTAGTAATTCACATCTTTTTTACATAATTTTTTTTAAATGTATGGATCAATAACAATATAAAATACTCTGTTGCACATTGATAAAAATTATAATCATATGATTTAACAACATTAAAGTAAAACATATAAATGTGTACGAACATTCATTGAATACTAATAAGGAAATTTGGATTAGACTCCTGCAAATGCATGACAAGCATGGAGCAGCAGTTATTCTCTCGTCAGTACACTGGCTGACATTATCATTTTTGCGCAATTGTGTTGTGTTTTAGGATATTTAACCGTTTAGATCTTTGTTCTTTCTAGATTTCACTTTCAAAGCATATTGAGGATGATGTAGTAATAATTTACTTAATACATGAATATCAATACAGAAAACCTGCAAAATTCCATTCAACATTTATTTTCTTTATGGTTGCATAGCCTTACAATTTAAGCATCTGTTGAAACTCTTGTAAGACATGACAAGTCAAACGATTAAGCAACCAGTAATGCATCATAGCTAAGGATTAAACTTGTCACATGTTAAGCAGTTATATCAACCCCTGTAATTTAAATGAACTGCATTCATAATATATTGGTGACAACTTACAATGCATTGTGTGGGGCAAGGTTTCTATGTATTACTGACACAATATCTATATTTTACTTGAGTGAATGCAGTGACACAGCCGCCCAATAATAATAAAAAATGGTGTATGCATTACACACATACAGAAATGGGACTAATTGAAATGAAGAGAATAAACTGGTTAAAACAAATTTTTGTGATAAAAGATTAATATGTAATTTCCTTAATAAGATACCTCTTACCTCATTATGGTCTTTAATTACTAGTTGATTCTGGTTGATAGACCACACTAGGAATGTTATATATGGAAGTAGCTGTAAAAAGAATGAATACAGTTAAACATGGATTAAATAAAAGTCCTCTAACAGCAAACTTTGGAAATGTATGTCACTTTTTGTATTTTGAGTGCCTATAATAATAAACCCAAATAATAATGATGATAAAAATAATGATAGTGATGATAGTAATCATTAAGAAATTCATTGTTGACACTTTAAGAGTGCTGACTGAAGAGGAAATGAAATTAGCAAGAACATGTTTTTCAATGGTCAGCATTTTGTACAAGCTTCCAGGTCAACCTCAAAACAACAAACACAAATTAGTTAATTACAATTTAAAAATGTGTTCTCATGGAACACATCCACAGCTGTCAAACACTAGGTCAACATACTAGTTCAGATTTCCAAGCCAACAAAACCAAAGACATGACAGTCGCCAAGAATTAACATATCTTTAATGAACAAAAGCCCATCCTCATCCCTGGGGAAGACCACAAGGCTCAACACCCAATATTCGCATCAGGCATACGATTTCAACACATGGCTCAACCATAGTGAATGAATCAGAAATAAATTTTCCCTCATTTAACTGTAAATTAAATAAAGATCTAATTTTCTGCTACAAATTAGATTTCAGTTTGGTCATCTTGGTCATGTCTGTCCTTAGTAGATCATCAAAACCATGTAATTTTTTCTAACCACTTAATTTTTTGATTGTTATCTGAGTCAGTGTTATATCGTGAGTTAGCCATGTCAGTCATTGGAAAGGATCACAAAAAGCTATCTTTTGGAGATGATTGCCCTTTATTCGATAATGTGGGGGATGACCTATAATTTGGCAGGGTGTGGGTCAATTCCCTTCAAATGCTGGAATTTCCCTCAACTTAAAAAAAAACTCTACTAAAAATGACAATTTAGTAATTAAGACAAATCTGCTTTCTAAAGCCCTGCCGAGGCTATTAAATGTGACATGCCTAAATATGGTTGATGACATCACATCATGACCATATATAGCCATATCATGACTTTATATGGGCATACAACAGTTTTTTGTCAAAGATTTTATGTGGACAGAGCTTAGTGGTTAAGATGGTTGCCTTCCAATGCCAAGGTCATGGGTTTAATTCCTGTCAGTGCTGCAGGATTTTTTTCTCACGACCAAACAACTCTACTCCCTAAACCTCATGTTGAGATTTAGTTTGTTTCAGTTTTTCCTGTGAATGTCATTGTCACCTACAAGCAGGACAGTGATAATATTCACTATGGACAATCCTTGGAACATGTGTTGTGTACCTAAATAAAATAACAACAAATAATAAATAATAATATTTATAATCCTGGAATGACCAAGGATCTTATCGCAACATTCCATCTTGCAATTGTTGAGTGTAGGATGTAAAGAAAATTATTAAAAATAAAATCTTATATTAGGATTTGTAATGTTAACTATGTTTTTCTCACATTGCTTTTCTATTACAACTATCAATATGACATGTCTCTTCATTAGTCATATTAATGTATGTTATTTACAGTATTTGTATATGCAAATACAGTGTGAATAAAAATATGAAAACAAAGAAAACCCCATTTCAATATCCCTTTTTTTAAGTATTTTAGTAAGGACAAAAACAATTGGTAGCTAAAGAAAGAAAGCATGCAATATATTTGTGCTGGAAAAAAATTCTTTTAGATTGCTATGAAAATATTTAAATATCTTTAATATTTTACCAAATTTCTTAATTTTTTTAAACATGAAACTATGAGATAAATCCACACTTGATTTTAAAGTTGATCTCAATGATCCAAGAACAAACAAGCTGGTTTCAAAGATTCAAGAATGAAAAAAATTACTCATAAAACAGAACAACTTCCTTGCAATTATAGCTATGACGGAGGGAAATCGGCTAAATTGATGTGCGGGCAATTTCTCCCTTGTGTTTGTCTAGTTGAAAAAGTTAAGAATCAGGTGAGGTTCTAGCAAGAGATGAGAAATCCGGGCCGTCACTCGCCACAAATTCCCACGAGAAAATTCTTTTTACCATGGCATGAAATTGCCTGTACATTTTGACAATTAGGTTCAGCTGTTTTGTTGACACTATAACACCCATCTTTTGCCTAAAGAGGAAATTTGACAATGTGTTGTCCATTACAACATAGTTTCTTTTTCAAAAGTGTGAAAGCTCAGTCTTTTGTGTCTGAATTTCAATCATTTCATTTGTTGTGGTTTTTTTATAATCAGTTGTTCTTCCAAGCATTGAAAGAAATGCTTGATCAGACAGAATTTCTCTTCTCATCTGTAATTGAATTGGTTAATACTGTCTAAATACGTAGAATTTCATTACCTTATTTCTAAGAAAAATTCTTATTTGATTTTAATCATCTCCATTTCTCTTTAAACTTCTCAGGTTTATTCTTCTTTAAAATTAATTTAAAATAACTTGACAACTTCATTAAAAAAATAAAGTTGCAATCACAATCTTCAATGAAATGTGTTTTGTGTCTGTCTATTGTAATTTAGAATTGCAGTTTTTCCAATTAGGCCTACTTAATAGACTCATTTCTGTTGTTTATCTGTAGTTTCAAAAGTTTTTAAGTGCAGATTATATCAGGTTTGAAATAGTCAGTATTTTTAATCTGCGATCTTGGTTGGTTTTTTAATTTTTGTCATTTCTTTCTTTATTTATATTTCTCATTGACATAAATATACATTGTGTATATTTATTTATATTTCTTCTCATTTATGTAAAGGTCAAATGTGACAATAAATTTGTTTTCTTCCTGTTTTGACCTTTATATAAGTCTTTAATTTTTATTCTGTTTTATTGTAAATGTCTATAATATTAAACCGTACATCAAATAAACTGTGAATTTTGCACAACGAAACTAGATATAAATCTTCCAACTTGTGTACATTTTTCACTATATGCCTAAGTTGTTGTAACAACTGGATGTTGCAATTTCTTTGTTTTTGTTTAGTTTTTGTAACAACAGATGTTGCAACTTCTTTCTTTGTCTCAACCGTAGAATTTCTATTGTGGGGGCTGATATAATACTTGAAATCTAATAAATGAACATGTATGTATATTTTCTTGAGTGAATAAAAATGAATAAACCAGCCTCCAAAGAAAGAAAATGAGAATACTGTGAGAAGAGCACCCTAAGTCAGATCTTTAATAAACCAATGAGTTGGTACAAAGAGCACCCCCAACTGCCAACCCAACCTCTATTATAATGACATTTATTTCAAACTACTCAATTCTGATTGGCTTTGATGTATATTTCAAGACTGAATCATGATTATGTGAACTGCCACAAAATATTAAGCAATAGAGGGCTCACTACTTACTGTGAGGTAACTCATGAATAACTGATGGGAGACATCTAAAGTACTGGTGCCTCATACATTCTCCTGTCTTTATCCTCCTCTTTGGATCCATCTAAGTAAAGAAAACACACACAATTATTATAATACAGTATTATGTAAAATTATTTAATTTGAGCAAAACAAATTTCAAATCTACATGCTTTTTAAAGATAATAACTTTTGAATGGTCAGTTAGAATCATATACTTATAATAAGAATTCTAGAGAGCAAACTCCAAAGCATTCGATGTTCTAAACACACAGAGTTGTGTGTACTCAACAAGAGTGCTGTCGTAGATTCAGTCAGTCAAAATATACCTATATGCTTCGTTTTTAATGCCCCCCCCCCCCCGATTTTAAAATTAAAGTTTAGAGTACAGCTTAGATACCATTATGTTGAAGTGAAGCTGGAGCATTGCAGCGTAGCGTACACGATATCAATTTTTATTCATCAGTATATTATTTTTAAATCAGATACTCTAGTTAGCCTCTTTTAGCTAGGCTAGTTTAATCATTCATTAATATTATTAATAATAATGACTAATGAAATAATAGTTAGTCCACGGTCTTATTTATGGCTGTAATATGTATACTAAGCCTGAAGGTGGCGCTTTCCTTGTGCCACCTTCCTTGTGCCGCTGGCCATCTTGTATGGTACATATATATATACTACTCTGCATTACTTCGTCATTTAGTTAGCACTCTAGTTATAATAGCTCTGTGGTTAGAATACATGGTGAAGACATAGAAAAGTACAATGCTGCCCTCTACATACTTGCAAGAGTTGCTCAGCTAGTTCAGCAGACCATGGAATGTTGCATAACCTGAAAAAGAGCATGGGTTTGAATTAAAATCATATATATGTAATTCTGATATAATACAGATCAGAATTATACAAAATGACACTGATAGTTTTGGATAAAATATAACAATTGCTCCCTGGCTCACCTAATTATTCTTATATGTTTGTGAATTTCTGATTTTTTTGTATTTGTAATGTTTCATATTGTTATCTGTTTTGCCAGAATGAATAAAATAAAAATTTAAAATAAAATGTATAGCAAATATAATTTATAATAAAAAATACTCAAACTTTATCAATTACTTTACTCAAAAAAATACACCTAGAATTGCTTAAAAAATGTTAACAAATAAATACTCAAATGTGTAGGCAAGTATATAATGATTTGATTAAATCAACAATAAATTAATCATTAAATAATTCAGAGGCTAATAGAATCTTCAAACTTCTGTAAACTTACTTTGGAAAAGACTGCCGTAATGATTTCAGTCGATGCATCTTCGTACAAGCTAAGGAATTATTTAAAAAATACAAAAGAAAATAGTAGCAAAAGCATGAAGTTAATGCCTACAAAGGCAGCATCACTATGAATTTCGATCACTTTAATTGGTCAGTGAGTTGGACACAACTTATTAGGAAGGCACTATAGCCTGTAGGTGGGTTAGTGGAAGAAGTGACAAGTATACCTAAGTATAATAAATTTCCCCTAGTGTATATATAAGCACTACTTTAATTGCTTTATAAGCCAATCGCCGTGTTTTAATGTTAGATATATAATCAAACTGTTGTAGTCAATGGTTGCTATAGTGATATGGTCAGCATATCTGTGTGCGTATTACATTTAGCTATGCGTGAGGATTGTTGCTACATTAGTACGCGCTAACCAGCAGTGCGGTTGAAATGATGTACGACGCTTACACAGCAGTACGACGAATAATAAATTTGATTGTGTTTGAAGAACTTGTCAAAAGCTTACTATTAGGCAAATACCATAGGGAGTTGCAGTGATGATGTCACGAATGTCTTATACTTAGTGTTATTCATTAATGCTGGAATTGGAAGGACAAAATACTACAATAACTTCAAAGTTTATACCTCTAGTTTTCCTATTCAGTAATCGAGTGGCTTCCTGAGGCCATGGTGTATGGTGGAGACAGGATATCGAAGACATTGGGTAGGTGAACCAGGAAATGTTTTTGAAAACAATGCTTTGTCATGTGTTCATAGTTCGTGTGCACTATTATTATATTATTATTATTATTACATGTTATGCATACGGAAGATTAATCAGGAAACCAATTAAGGCTTATATGATTCTCCATTCTTTCGTTATCTTTAAACAATAAATATGCTAGATAGGTGGTACTAGAGAGTGGAAGAAAAGAACACTGTAATTTCCAAATGTTTGGATGAATAAAGTGATGTCTATGTCTATGTTACATTCTCCCATTATCATGGCCAATTTTTCTTTCCTTGTAATTTATTACTAAATATTGTTTACAAAGAAGTTAATTTTCTTTTGTTCAAAAGAAAAAATAAACTTTGTTTTGATTTGATTATTCATAAAAGCTTTTATAATTTCAATACAATTTTATTTCCACATAGCCAATACATATTATTACATTAAATACATTAATATACAATAAAGAAAATATGAAGTTTTGTAGTCAGTTTTGGTAGGATCATTATTTGATAATCAGAGTTAAATTATATATGTTATACATTCACACAACAAAATAATACATTCTATTAGTATTATACAGTCTTAATGACAGATTGTTTCAATGCACTTGATCATAAGGCCAAATAAAATACAATAAAGGATAGAAAAAACAAAATGTGATAACCCTCCCCTGCTTTTCCTTGACACCACCTAACTTCACCACTTCATCAGGTTTTACATTTGAGTACAGTTTAATTCTCACCTTGTTTGTAATGGGGTAGTGATGAAACACCTGGCCAGATTTGTTCAGTCGGTGTTCCTAATACCTGAAACAGCAAAACAATTTAAGTTATTTATTAGCATTTTTGTTAATCACATCCAACAGGATGGATTTCTATCATGCTATATAAACTAATTCTCACTACAAGCCCTAATAGGGAGTCAATTTTTTTATTCAAAAGAAGAAATACTGGCATATGACTCTGGGACTAGAAAGCCAGAACTATATCTGCACTTTATCATCCTTACAGGATTTAAACCCAGGAAGCTGTAATTGGAGGGTGAGCATCTTAACCACAAAACTACACCTGAACATCGAATAATATTTATTGTTTCTACATGGAAATTTGAGTCATTAGACATTATCAACATTTTATTTTCTGGCATTATAATCATTCTTATGTTATTTCTAAATGTGATTAACCCCATTAAACATAGTCAACATGTAGAAAAAATCCTTATTATAAATGAAGCGGAAGCATAAAATCGATGGCGCAAAGACTAAAACAGATTTACAGAAAATTCAGATTCAGATGTATTGTCCAATATGGAAATAGCAGTGAGTACATTTTCAAGTCATTACAATAATAATAGTGTAATTCTTTATTGGTCATCATTCAAATTGAAAAAGTGGAAAATTTGAGCTGGGAGCCTCTGGCGACCCGTGGTAGCTGCAGTATAACAGACACATACAGATACAAACACTGTCCTCATCCTGCCTAAATCTCAATATGAGGGTTATTCGAAGAGCCAATATAACTCCAATTAAAACCCGATGCTGGCAAGGTTTGAACGGGGTCTTCAGAAAAACTGCTAGTGAAATACTTCAAAGGAAAACAACTCCAAACAGACAATAACAAGATACAATTAAAGCAAATCATAAAATATGACAACAGTAATTTATGAAATATTAAAATGTTGATTAAAGAATACAGTTAAAATTTTAAAATTACTAAAAGAATAAAATATACCAATTAAAATTAAAATTACTAAATTTCAGATTAAATCAATTAGGCCAATTAAAATACTGATACATATAGGAATATCAAAAAACATCCATTATACAATCTGATTGAATATGGCATGAAAGAATTCTTGCATCTGTCTGTTCTACATTTAATTGATCTATACATATTATTCCCTAGAGCACATCTTTTGATAGAGACAATTGTAACAGATTAAAAGATTAGCTTACCTTAAATATTCTTTCTAGTTGGTCTTTAAAATCTTTCATTCCAGGGAACAGTGCTTGTCCCGTGATCATCTCAACAAAAATACACCCTACACCCCTGAAATATCATACCAAAATATTATGGCAACTGAAGATCACAATATTAAATTATTTTTAATAATCCTTTATCTTGCTCTACAATTATAAAGAGGGATAACGCAGTCGGCAAAACTGGTGTAGACATTGAGTGTACGCTGAACTGTGGAAATCCTCACATAACCTTGGACCTCGGTTCAATTCCCATTGCTGCTTTTTTCTGCTTCAAAAAAGTATAGTCCACCATCTTTGAAAGTGACTATTAAGCCATTAGATGTAAACATTATAAAAACTTTTAAAAATCCTCACCACATATCTAACTGTATAGAATAATCTTTGGAGCCAAGGAGGACATCAGGAGGTCGATACCATAGGGTTACAACTTCATGTGAATAGGTCTTGCTGGGGATTGACTTGGCTCTAGCAAGGCCTACAAGAAACAAATAAATACATTTCTGGTATGACAAACAAAAAACAAATAAATAAGAAATATACAGTACAGTAAATAAAGAATCATAGTTTAAACCATCAACAAAGAGAGTATTTTTTGCAATTATTTTGGTCTAATTAAAATTTTAATATGTATTACTCTGCATTATAGTCAAATCTTTTTCTTTTTCTTGTGCATCACATGGTTGATTTCGTAGATGCATTTTTTGAATCACATTAAACTTGTAAGTGAACCATGAATAATTTAAACAGAATGTTGCCACAGGCAATCCAATTACCAAGGTATACAACAAGGTGATAAGCTAAATGAACAATACCAGTTCATTAACCAATACAGATGCTATCTTTTAACATAGCTTTATAGGAAGCTTTTAGTGTAATATTTAGTTTAATATAAATATTTAAAGATCTATAATCTAAAGTATTATCTAGTGACAGTCCCGTGCATTTCTGTAGTCATAGTAAGCCTATACATTCAGCATGCGCTATTGGGGCTTGCCATGTCAAAGCTAGCATCAGCGACCAAAACAATAAAATTTACTTTTTAATATATTCATCTTCTCCACTTCATTAGCTTTAAAAAGTGATATGCCATTTACTGGAATCGACTTACTACTGCCAAAGTTATGGGTAAACATATTACATATTCTCTGTACTAAAGTATACGATACTGCCACATTCTTATGCTATTACAGAGTTTAATATTTAGTGACAGTATGCTGTTTTTCAGATGGCAAGTTTCATATAGTGTTTTTTTTGTTTTCATGAGTTGTTGTGTTTTAGGGCTATGTTATTTTAATTATTCTCTAATTTCTCCATTGCCTAAGTTCCCCTTAAGTTAGGTTTTAGTAACATTATTATTATTATTATTATTATTATTATTATTATGTTAGTCTCATATAGTATTATATATTATAAGAAGACAGAGCAAAATACAAAATTCTTCAGTGACAAGTTTCTGGCAGCCATAGAACAAAAAAATAGAGCAAGACCTGCATTGAACTATATCAATTTACTAAAGGTATTGGCTAAGCCAATCACAGAATAAAGAGCTTAGTATATTGACATTTTCAAGAGGCATGAATTATGAATACTAACAATGCACAATAATGCAAGTGGAATGTGTCAATGTCAGTTATTAAAATTTCACTCATGAACGAGTATCCTCCATAGTGCATTTAATTACCTGCAAATATGTTTATTTAAAGAGTGATGTTTCTTTCTAGAGAATAATTAGAAATGGTACACCAAGCAGCTAAAATAATTACTTTGGATTACGATAGTCATAAATCTGATGCCTTTGCATTTTCATGTCAATAGTAGGTAAGGCCTAAAATTTAGGTCCACTTAAGTCCTCTTCCAAGTCTTTGTCCTTAAACAAATGTAACGGCTGAATGCTGGAAATGGAATATAGTGTAGCATGTCATGTCTGATTTTCTCATGTTTACATATTATACATTAAAAATGTATTCATATTAAAATATGAGCTCAGAAAATAATATGTAAATAAGCATTCGCTTAATATAACTTTAATTCCTTTGATATATTATTGTTACCTGCTATACCTCATGTATACAAATTATGCAGCTTTCTGCCGAAAGCACCATTGAGGTGATCCAGCAACATACTCATGTGGGAATAGACTGGAAATTATGTATAATATTACATTTCAATCCCCTTGCCACTGTTGTTTGTATCTTTCAACTTGTTTGTCTCTGTATTATATATATTTATGACAAAATAAATTAAATGAAATTAAGGTTACAGTAAGATAGATCCAACTTTAAAAACAAATTGTTCTTCTAAGCTGTCCAAAAGGGTCACTTGATTATGATGAATAATTTCATTTCAAATGAGATATAATCATAGATGATATTTTTTTTGGAATGTTGCTTAATGCATGTGAACGTACAGATGATGTTGATCCCACAATGATATATATACATTAAAAGACTATTAACATTCTACCACAGTAATCCATGATTTTCAAAGCACTGACAGTTAATGTTCATCTCCATGGCAACAGCTACTTAGAGGCAATAAGTTCAATGCAGGGCATCTTAAAACAATCCACAAACGTGTACGCTTCAGGGAGCTTCTCAAAATAAGATGTACTATTAATTCTGATTACAATGCAAGAGGCTTTGTTTTACAAGAAATCACAACATGTTGTATTATTAGGTTGAATGCACAGGGAGAATGATGAGGCAGGGCTTTTTAAATGACGATGTCACAATGTTGTATTCATATAAGTTCTGATGACACTGCAGGGGCTTCTTTAAACATAATGTCAGAATGAATTTGTATTATTAGGTCTGCACCTAATGCAATGGGTGAGGGCTTCAAACATGATGTCAGGATGATGCTCTATTGACTGTTACAATGTGAGGAGGCTTCTTAATATATCGGGATATACCAGAATATGTACAATTACTGTAGTCCGATTCTGATGTGGAATTCTTCAAACATTATTCACCATAAATTGTTGAATTTGATTTCAGTCTAAGGCTGTATTCAAATCGGATCCGAACCAAAATTCGGACCATGTTTCAGAAGAGCTGATTGCCAGCATCATTATTCTTGCATACGGATTTGACTTTCAGACTATTTTGGTATTCTCTAGGATACAATAACTTGTCTCTCGTATGAATACATATAAATTAAAGACATATGGGATAGTGAAGCCTTTAAGTTCATAGCAACCACTAAAGTATAACTGAATGAAAACCAGAAAAAAAGTCCCAAAACTCCTTACCAAAATCAGCAAGTTTCAGCTCACCAATTTCACTAATGAGAATGTTCTGTGGTTTTAAATCCCGGTGTAGAATTAGGCGCTGGTGGCAGAACGCCAGTCCACGTAGAAGTTGGAAGAGGAACAGACAAACATTGGTTGGATGTAAACCACTGCTATGGTTCTCGAGGTGTGTGCTTAAATCGGTATTCTGGAAAAAAAAAAAGAATAAATCTATAATTATATCATAAATAGATGGTATTTTGATATTTTTGTTTTGTTCAAACTACTATGTTTGGGCAAAAATATGATGCTCTATAAAAAAAAACAAATCTAATATGATTGTCTCTCCATACTATTACTTTTCCTATGGCAAATACCAGTGATTTGCCTATATGTTGGTTTGAAAGTTGGAAATTGGTCAAAAAATATTTAAAGATAAAAAGTATAATGCCAAACTCAATTTTTTAAATTACATATCAATCGGTTGGAATATGTAGTAACTTGAAATAAATACTTCTCAAGTGAATGAATAGCAACCAAACTGTTTCCTTTCTGGTTTTTATTATTCATAATTCATAAATGTGCTTTTTGATTAATTAAAATCACCATTTTTTTCAATATTTAAGTCAAACACCAGTGTATTATACTAATAATTTCTGGATGGTTGGGTTAAGTTTTATCATAGATAAATTTAAAATTATATCTACCTGGATAATGCCAGGATTTACACTATCAGCAAGGAAGTAGAATTATTATGTCATTCAAACTAAATAACTGTCATAATGCCTACATTGACTGTCAATAACTTGTCAAAATAAATATTAACTAGGAAAACCACATCCGCCAATTTCCACCACCTAAATCTTCTAACCATATTCCAGTTAAATAAAATGTGCATTTAAATCGGTAAATCAGGAATGAAAAAGGATGCTTCCTTGAGATAAGATCCTATTCCCGGAAACAATGTTGACACGAATGAGGTCGCAGGAAGCGATAAAACCACCAAGTGATATGCTTGGAAAAATCTTCTTGTAAAACATTTTCTTTACCTACCTGTTCAGCAATCTCATTGGTTGAATTAAGTATGCTAACCATTAACAGTAAAGGCCTAATTTTAAACAATTGACCTATTCCTACTCATTGTTTTCTTTGCATTACAACTGGCCTCAGTCATGCATTCACATGATCAACAGAAATATAGATCGGAGAGAATGAACATATCTGACAGCCATAATGACAATTTTTTTTTTTATATTTCTTTACACTGGTTATCCTTTTCATAAGGTATCTACTGTTCTCCCACAGGGCCCAGGATTTATTATCTCAAGCCCCTTTCAGATAGACGTTGCCGTAATATTGCTGTAAGCCTACCGGCATAATAATCAGTCTATATCCTTTCACACAGCACCTTTGTTGCCGCATTATTGCGGTAATCTTACACTTTTCTGTCTGAAAGGGTCCCATAGAATGGCGTAATATCGGCGGTTTGAATACCACCGCGCAATTCTTCTCAACTTTAACCTTGTTTGTTTATGCATAAATGAACACATGCGCTTGACTGCCACAATATCGAGTAGACCCTTTCAGACAGAGCAAGCCAGTAACTGTTACCGCAATATTGCGACAAAATGACTAGGGTGTAAGGTGGCCTAAAGTAAGTATATTGGCGTATCGACCCTTTAAGACAGAAATCCATGTCGGCGTGCTTACCGCAATATTGCCGTATTGCAGCTCAGTCTGAAAGGGGCTTAAGTCTCACAATGAGACTTAAGGAGTGGAGTTGTTCTTGACAACGATGACAAAACCACTAATTGATAAGAATATGATGATGGTGATGACCACTGATCATAATGATAGTTATGATAAATGTAGACACAATGATGTTCATCATGATAATGGTAGTGATGACGATTATATAAATATAATTTTACAAACTAAATCAAATTGTTAAACATTTAAGTGATGATAATTTGGAATAAAAATTAATCAAGAGATTGTTAATTTTCAATAAGATTTACAAATACTTTTCTCCGTATAATATAAGAGAAGATTGCTATATTTCAGGGGGAAAAAAAGATAAAAACACAAGGTTTCAAATAAGTTTGAAATTAGCACTATGCACATCGCTAACACCACAACACGTGGCAACAATAGGATATTATTTCGGTATGAAACTCACCAAGGACAACCAACTAAGCCTCTGTAGACCCTATAGTCTGCAGAACTGTTTCTAGTGGGGTCCTTCTGTTGGTGAATTAGGAAGTACACTAGGAAACAATTCCCTAGTCCTTTCTGAAGAGTGTACTGCATTCCTTAGCATGCACATAGGCCTACAGCTTAAATATCTCATACGAAGGATGTTGAGCTAAAACAATTTGTATTTCAGCAATCCAATTGGAAAAAAAACAGAGCAGTGATTGGAATTGATTTAGCGCACACACAGTGGCTACCACATTGTTCGGCCGACTGAGCTAAGCTGCTCTCACACACTTGCTGATTTGAATATTGTGCAGATAAATTCTGTTATAATAAATGAAGGTAATTGTTGATGAAAAATTTGACTACTTAAACTTTAAATCCTGGAAATGTTGAAAACTACTGGTACATCTAACTAATAAATATGAACGTGATAGATATTGCAATATAAATTGGTGAAAGTAATTTACATTAAAAAATACATTAATCATTCTGCTTACAATATTATAAACAGTGGCATATGCCACGCTTTACCTTTGCGCCCCCCCCCCCAGCAGCACCACCATTTCAAGACTTTTAGATACGCCACTCTATATAGTATAGAATAACGTTGACTCTAGCCATAATCAGTGGAGTCTTATCTAGAATAAGATTACAAGCAAGATGATCTTACCTACATACAGTATGCAATTAATAATGCAGTTATCCCTAAATTCTGACATACTTTTTACTGGAAACAAGACTGGATAATTACCAGAAACGCGTCTCAGTGGTCACCATGCATGAAAGCCATAACAAAATACCCCTTTCCAAATTAACATTACAGAAATATCTTCATCAACCCTTTCCTATTTCTTAACATTCATCTGTCCTCCATAGTCCATATTTATCACTATCCTAGTCCAGTTTTATGGAGCCAATCTCTACCAGTCAGCATTCACGTCTCTCACTAATGAACTCTCAGAATATAGTTACTTTTTTCTACATAATACTATTTAGTATTATATGCAAATGATTCTCATTATGTATTGTCAAACTAACTCATAATTCTGTTCACTGCATTTGTGTGTATAGGTTCCAATGTGGTTTAATTATACAACATGGGATTATACGCACTAAAGTAATGGATATTAAAATGTACACCAACTAAATGCCAAACCAGTATAAACACTTTAAAAGTAACAAGGTGACCTCAACAAGATTAAAATGGATAGCTTTAACCTGCTGAACTCATTACAACTACACACAAATAGTAATTTATGTTCTATATTTATATCATGTTTTTCTAATTTATGTCCCAAAGTACTACACATTTATATTCATATGAATATACATGCCGGATAGCAAAACAGCTCAACTTAAGTAGAGACTTTTTTTTAATAACAGTTTTTTTTAATACAGTAGTTTTGCAAAAAAACATGCAGAATGATGAGAAAATAAAAATAAAATTTTAATCGTGAATGTAAACAGTGTAGTAATAAGATGGTAAAATGCTTTAACTTAATGTAATTAGGAAGAAATATACATCTTACTTTTGGAGATTTCAAGACAGCAACAGGCCTAATAAAACAAATTTATAAAATTTACATTTTTTCATGGTGGCGGGTACGCGAATTGGCCAAAAATAAAATTTTATTTTTTATAGAAATCATCTTTATTGGCGGGCAGCTTTTTGCTAAACAAGGTAAAAAAAAAGTCTCTCTTAATGAGTACTCCTAGTGATCTAGGAATATATTCAGTTGCTTTAATCATACACTCAACTCAATAACCTTCCTATCCTACGTTACAGACAACTGTTAACATTCAATTACATTCAAGGCTATGTTTCCTATTTTCTCCTTTTTTCATATTCAAATATTATTAACTAATTATTTATTTCTCAAGGTAACAAAATACTGAGAGATTACCAAAATGTAATTCATTATTTTCTCTCATAATTTTTTTGGTTTGGTATAAAATACTTAGTTTTCAAGGCAACATTAGAAAGTTCAACTTTACACTCTATACAAATAACTGCTTCCTAAGGCAAATAAAATTGTTTATTTTCAAAATACAGCAATAGATTCATAATTTAGTTTGATCCTTAAACATAAAGTGCACATTGAAATGAACTTTACAGTCAACGGTTTATGATTTTTGAATCCTTGTATTTTATTATTGGTCTTAAATTCTGTTATATAGCAATTACAGACTTCTAAAAATAAGGAATGTTTATAAAGTTCTTATTGTAGCTTTGATGATAGAAATGACAAATATTTTTAGAGCATTTTCAATCTGACTAAAGATAGGTTGTTTGAAAATAATTAACCAGAGTTTTTATTTGTCAAGGATCACTGTGTTTGTTTTACAATACTATTACATGATCTTAATCTCAATTAATCTTTCTTAGTTATAAATTATTTTACAAAAACTTCCTACTTACCACATATTCAAAGACAAATGTCAATGACGTTTTCGTGTGAATTATATCATGAAGCAGCACAATGTTCGCGTGCTTCAACCCCTTTAATAATGATGCTTCACGTATTGCTGTAAATGGTGCGCCCTCTTCTTCCTGTAGACGAATCTCCTTTAAAGCTACAATTTGGTTGTTGACACTGAAAATTGAAATACGGTACCATACTCGTTAAAAGAACCTTTATCTGGAAAAATTGGTAACTAATTGGACTGTTTCTAGTTGGTTGTCTCTTTAATGAAATGTTTGTTATCTACAGTAAATTAATAATGGTTAACACCATAATGATCCATTCTCTGTTTGCTGAAAGTATCATTATGACACAGACTTACTACAGTAGGTTGGCAGGAAGATTCAGATATAAATGCTATAACACAACTAATACCACAGCCAAACACAAGATGCAAAGCTCAGGGTGGTTAAATTTTTAACAGACATATTGTAGAAGGAAGAATAAGGAATCAGTATTACTGGTTGATTTCCCTCTATGATTTCATTCATCCACCCACAGTACAATCACTGTTTACAACCTTGACAAATATATTCAGTTGCTTTAACACTAAAACACCTAAAATTCTGAAGGGAAGCTACTATGCAGGATGGATCAAATGTTGTCCTAAAGGGGGAGGGGGGCACGAGAGGCTGATATGTCTTCCTCATAGTTTAATTAAAATAGCAAAATTTGTAGCAAAAAAATTTTAACTACTACACCTAAAGTTAAAGTTGACCTTATCTTTTGATAGTAATATGTGTTCTTGTTTCTAATTCGGATGATAACTAGAAAACATGGAATTATTCTTTTTTTTCCCACTCACTTCTCCAATTTCTTTTAACAGATTTATATTATAAGTTTACATAAGTTTTAACAGTATCATAGGTAAGAAATTATGTTTCTAATATAACTGGCAGTAAAATACTCAAATGAAATATGATATATAATTTAAATTAAATAGATTACACTGACCTTCTAAAGTCTATTAAATTTGAAATTGAGTACCAAGATGGTGAATCTCACCGGATCTCAACAAAATATCACAAAGCTGGCATGGCTTAAAATCTTAAATGGCTTTCCTGCAATTTCTTATGGTTACTTTAAGATACCCCACTTAATTTTTAAGTACATAAGCCATTTGTTTCAATTAAATATTTTAACATTCATTCTTTCTTTCTTTCTGAAATATACTTTCAGTACTTTAAAATAAGGCAACACTGGTTGTTGGAGTACCTACACAGAATGGGCCTTGAACACTGTGGCATATGAACCCTCACCAAGCTGACAAATCTTCTTGTAGGACTCAAGGCGGCCTTGGGTAGCACATGTCTGCAAATTGAAAAAAAAAAACCAAAAATATTAATAATATAATATTTTATTACTAAAAAAAAGTAAAGGTCGAAACTTGAAGCTCTGGGCTCAGAGGCTGGAGTGCCCATCTCATTTTCCTGATGTTTTCCTTGGATGTTTGGGCCAGACTATGCAAGGCTGTGGGAGGTTCGAGAAATGGTAACCAAATTACTATTATTATTATAAAACTTTATTTTTACACGGAAAGCTCGTCTCAGCCAGAGGGTGTTATTCTACAAGGCCGTGTTGTCATTGAAATTGCAAAATAACAGTATAAAAAATACTAACACATAATCAGAAAAAAAGACAAAATTATATACAAATACGAGATACAAAAAATGAAGCATAAACCAAAAATTTTACAAAAGTGTTTTTAAATACTTTAACATTTGATGCATTTCTAACACATTTAGCCAGTGTGTTCCAGAGAATAGCACCATGGAAAGATAAACTTTTCATTTTGTATTCCATGTGAGGACGATCAACTTTTAAGACATCATTTAATCTGGTTAAATAATTTTGTTCCTTAAATGTAAAGCGTTCGGTCAAATAAGAGGGAACCAATCATTGTTATTCCCCTTTTAGACTTCCAAGAATTTTAAGCATAGATAAAACATTCAACACAACATAAACTTTCCATGCTCAATGGATATGTATGTGTGAACAAACAGAAAAAAAAGAATTTTTTACAAAGACAGTTGACCAGAATGGGAATTGTTTGAGAGCCTATCTATATCTGCTAGGTCAATCACTCACACAAATTTGGAAATTTTGGCATACTAAATCTTGATTTTGTTTTTTAAAACTGTATGTTTGTTATGCCATAAAATTCCAATACATAGCAAAGTATTATTCATGGTATATATTATTTTCCATGAGTATAGCCATGTTGGTATTTGTAGGACAAAATGTATAATCACTATTAAACGATCATCAATACATAAATGTCATTCTAATATAAGCATCAATTTTGACCTCATCCTCTTAAGAATATATTGTGAAATACATTGCATGCAAGATAAACATAATGTACTGTATATGTCAATAGCTAGGGATATAGACATACATTGTAGGATTTTATAATTATAAATTTTAATGGAAATTATTTATGATGTGATTCTTTTATTCAATTGTATATTTTTATAATTTAGGATTGAGGGGCAACTGACTCTCTGAGTTACATTGAATTTTTGCTAAGCTGCCCGAGTATTCTGTTTTTGGTCAAACAAAATAAATTAAATTATATTAATGCAATAGTGATAACAATAATGACTATAATGAAACAGTGTTTTTAATGTTTAATCAGTTTTGTTTCAAGAATTTTTTTGCATCTACACCTTACATGCATATTAGCATTTCTAAACAAGTTTGGCACTGGGGATTCTGGGAACCAATACGCTCAAACAGGGGAACCAACCACATTGACATACTAAAAAGGAACACATGAACTTATTATGTGGACACACCACTGTGTCAGTGTGTCACTAATTTGTAAGGGAGTACCAATGAATATTGAATACTCAAAAGCTTTTGATATATCTTCCATGAGCTATGGAATACCAGAATGTTCACAGCACATGTATGTATATAAAATGTGCATATGTAATGGCATATTGCAATGCCACTGTAAATGAGACATTAATTAAGAGAGCAATATTAATATGATGATATAACCTCTGTGCAATGCAACTAATAAGAGAATATATAAAAATAGCAATCTTGAGTTATTGATACCGCCTTTGGTGCCAAAAAACTATAGATTGACAGCCAACATGAAGTTCACTGACAGATACTTAACAAGTTCCAAGTTCAAATTATTCAATATTTCTATGTCACGTACACTTTCAGTTTCTACGAAATCATTACACATCTTAAAGGAGAAGAGCTATAAATGAATAAATAAAACACACTGTCATGTTCAAGCGATCAGTCAAATATATGTCATCTACATGTATGATAATTAAAAATAAAATATAAAATAAATTAAATGAAATACATTTATGTAGGATAATGGTAAATCTTTGTCTCTAGGCAAACACCCAGTTATTTTCTCAACGGATCTGTCAATGACGGCCATGCGCCTTCTGAAGAAGACAGCTACTACAACAGTAACCCCATTGAATACGTACTGCAACTATGAGCTAAAATTATGGCATTATTACGTTAAATAATATCATAATGATTTTTTAAAACATCTATTTCCTTATACTGAACAAGGTCAGAAAAAACGCTAAGAAAGTGAAAGAATATTTTCCAGGAAAGAATTAATGATAAACAACTTCCAATGGTTCCATTGAAATTGATGGTATATCTATTTGTGGATACATAATTACTCTGTTTTGCGGTGCATTGGCGACGCTTAGTAACCATTAAAGACTTTAAAGATGTATAAGTTTCAAAATGAGGAAGCATAGGACTATATTGAGGCGACGCCAAATGGGCCTGTTAATCAATCTAACATGCATTTGCTATGTTGGTAGCATAATTAGATAACCAACCAACACTACAGCATAGTAAAATTATATTTAAATAAAAAGATGTAGAAATATCATTTTACAATAGCATTGTAAAATGATATTTCAATAAAAAGATGTAGAACATTTCCACAAGTTACGTTGTCATTTTATAACACTGCCTGTAAGAAAATCTCTAAATATTGAATTCTTAAATCACTAATTGAATAATAGAGGATTTACACGGTACATAATTCCACACCAATCTTCAATTTTACAGTTGACTATTGAAAGGAATTGAAATCAAGAGCGAAAATACCATTAACAGTTTAGAAACTGAAATGGGATTTCCATTATTCTGATGTGGCTGCTAAGAGTAATAAGCTAATTTTATGAGTTACAACTACTACATATTATATTTTACATCAACTACTTTTTATAGAATCTCAATAAAATATGTTGATAGTTTGAATAATGGTACTTATATGTAACCTGTCAATTGTAAGGGAATAATATCGTATACAAATACTCCAAGTTATTATTATTATTATTATTATTATTACGTAAGGGTGTGTGCATGTATACGCTAACCCTAGCGATATATGGGGTGTATCAATCTATAAGATTTGTTGCTCACTGAAATTCAATCATACATCCAGGACCAGAAAAAGTATGTGACCACGCGACTGGTGGTCTGACGAATTGCTCATTTCAGTAGAAGAATTTGCAAAAAAAATCATTTCACCAAAGTACACAGTGATATGTATAGATTTGATTCCATGGTAAATGTTATCCAGCCCATGAATTTCATGTCGTCAATTGCTGAACCAGAATTGCTACAGGACGGCAAATTTTTGCCGACCTAATTTTTTCCAAATTTCATGGGCTGTATTATCATTACATACTATACTAGGGTAGATTTATTTAAGCTACATATCATTAATTTTCACTTAATGATAGTAAAATCAAATTTGTACTTTTGTAATATCGTACTTTCTATGTATTTTTGCCAGTACAAACACATGATACAAAATAATTGCAAATAGCAAAGATTACGTACGCAGAAGATGAAGAAAATCCACACAGAAGGGGAAAGAATCTCTATACCAAATTATTATTATTAAGCTTTATAATTTAGACAAAAAAAAACCAGATTAAAGTAACCTCTTATGTTTACTCAGGGTTCATAAGTTTTGAAACAAGCAAATTTCCCGGGATATTCCAAGACCTTTTGGGTTAAATTTTACAAATTTCAAGGGCACAATATCGCGCAACTGTAAAACATCACCGATGTTATGATTGATTTTAAAACTTGGTTGCTTTACTAAGTTTAAATGAATGTTAGTTTCGTTTATATTAAATTTTATCTAACTCACATTCGAGGCGATGGATCTGTCTGTTTTCTCACGCTCGTGGGGAATTCCATTTTTATCACAAGTGTAAAAATGTGTTGGTAAGCAAAGGAATTCCAATAAGTATGGGTAAGTAAAGTAAGGCAGAGCTGATCGCTGCCATACAGTTGAACTTGAGTGGACCAAACTGTATTCTATCATCGGCAACACAAATGTATGTGCGTGTACAACAATGTAATACTGCTTAAACGTTTCAGTGCATTTTGTGGTACTGGAGTGCCAGAATAAATTGGTTCCTTTGTGGCGCAACGGTGGAGTAGTACACACCTGTCCAGTTTTGTCATTCAGCGAATGATAACTGTCAGCTGTGACGAAGTTGACATAGATATTAGTAAACAATAGCCTTCTTAATGGGTTTACGATGCAGAGACATTAATTTATTATATTTAATATATATTTAGGTGTTTAAAATGTATAAACTAATGACGCATTGTATTATTAATTAATTTAATTAATGGATGCTCTATTCCCTACACATCATATGTACTATAATTACTGTATTATTATTTATTAATTATTCATTATTATTGGGCCTATTATTATTGAAATTAGGTCTATAATTATTAGGCCTTAGTAGTTAATTTTATCTCTGTATTTGGACATTTCAAATGCTGTAGGCCTACATGAACCTTCATAATCTGCTATACAGCAAATGTTAACGTACAACAGGGTTCCGCCATCCCATCGGCACTGATAGGCATTGTTTTTTCAATGATTTTTGAAACTTCAGAAACATTATTAAAAACAAAATACCTCGTTCTAAAATCAAGGACTTTGAACTGTAAACGCCCTTTAAACATGAACGCCCATTATTAAGAAAATATCAAAGCACATGTTCCCATGGTTACGTTAAGTGTTAATCAACTGCCTTGTACTGGACGGGGCCAAAACATGTCCATTCATGCAAAGCAAGCACGCACATCTGGAAAGTGAAAATTACCCAACATGAATTTACTGGACACACTGAACATGTGCGACAAGACAAGACATGTTCAACTGATTGAAAGTTACATTACACAAAACAGCAAGCAAATAGGCATATAAACAACATAGCAGACATCAACAAAGTTAATGATCAATGTCTGACTGAAAATTACATGTAAGCATAAATATTAATACAGTACAAGATGCAAGAAAGCAGCACTTCACTAAAATATAAGCAAACAACTCATTCACTGAATCACAAATTTGTACCAAAACCGCCAGTCGGCTATTTTCAGTATTTGACATTCTTTCTGTCTACGATAACATTCCTGAGCTGGCGGCATACAAAGACTTGTGACTGACCTGTTTTCTCCAAGGGTATCGTGGGAACCTACTTGTGGGAATGTTTCTCATTGGAATTACAACGGCAACTTTACTGGATAAATGGTTAAATGATCAACTTTCCAGGACATTCACAAATAATCATAAATTTCCAGGATTTTCCAGTACTGGAAAATGCCCATTTGTTTCTTCAGGACATTCAAGAAATTTAAGGACGCGAACGAACCCTTTACTTACACTAGCCAGCATACTTCTAGGACGTGGTTTTCTGACATAGTCATCTTTGCTTTTCTGTTTCTCAAACTCCATCATATAGTTGTTGTATAGTTGTGGCAAAGCATCATTTGCCGAGCGGTACCGGTACAAGGCCGGCCGACTACCTTTAGATGTAAACGTAGAGCTAGTAGACGTTCCCATTAGTCGATTGCCATTCTCCTCTGTTATTCCCCTAAATATTGCACTGGAGTTAGTAAAAGCACCCTATGAAGAAAATACATAATAGGGTTTAATTACTAGGCCTAGACCTACAGCACATGCAATTACTGTGATCATCTGAAAAAAACGCACTTGGCTTCGAGTTCCATTTCATTGAGCATAACTTAATTGTGTGAAGATGATGCGAGCCAGATATTAAAATGGATCATTAACGTACTGCACAAGTATCTGTCTAGCACAGTTGAAGGTGATTTGTAGAACTGTGGGCAGATGAATTGGAAATAATTGTTAGCTGAAATGACTGTATTAACGAACCTCTCAATAAACAATTACAAAGATGAACATTTTCTCCAAGTTTCCTCAGTCATCACTGCACTTCAGTATACTTGTAAATCAATCATTCTATATCTAATATTCACAAGCTGCCTCTGTTGATATTTAAAGAATTTTACTGAGTTCTGGTTTTTACTAGATTACATGATTAATGTTAGAACATGTGCTGCTGATACTCTAGCTGTTTTACATTACGGTATGAGACTAGTACTACCCTAGTCGGGAAACAGCATTTTGATAAGAGACATAATGTTATACAAATAATGAATGTTTGTGAGTACAATGGGAACAGGCAGCAGCTATCAGCTTTATCAGACACACCTGATGAATGTTGATGCCAGCTTCATACTATTAACTGGCAACAACTATCAGCTTCATCAGACACACCAGATGAATGTTTGAATGATGCCAGCTTCGCAGACTGACATACCAAATGAACTAGGATCAACTACAAGCTAAATCAGACATACCGATAAATGTTGCTGCTGCTTCTTTTTAAGTCCTCTGCAAGATGTACCAACATCAACATAATGCTAAGAATCTGGTCATGATTGTAATTTACAAGTTGTTGTACACATGTATTAGCAGCAGAACCCAAACTGCAAGTATTATTTACTCTAACATTACATGGATAATAAGCATTTGAACTGTAGAAATACATCATCAACAAGCACTCAATAATCTGAAGATACTATTAAAGTCTCCTGGTGATATGTTATACCTTCTCATTACCTGCCTAATGAGCAATGACAAGTTTATCCAGGGATGAATTTCACATTTTATCTCTTAAAACAAGAGGCTATGTTTTAACACAATGATGAAAACAGGTGTAATATTATTTGACTAATAGGGATTCATTTAAAACTATCGACGTGATGAAAGGAATATGTTAATACTCTATATTCTCAATATTATGCATACTTTTGTCATCATTACCAACATTACAGCTATAATTATTTATATTCAAAACACTTCTCCATCACAAACACCATTAGCATAACCATCATGTTCAGCATCATGAGATGATGTGTATTAAGTACTAAAAGATGTCAAAATAAATACAAAAACTGTATGAACAAATATAACCATTATCTTCCTTTTTCCGTTTACCTCATTCTACTCTATCATAAAGTATTTCAATCCTCTAAATCTGACTCCATCTTCCATCTTTTTCTCCTCACCCTACTCAATCCTACATATTTCTTTTATCTTACTCAATTTAACTCCATGTTTAATACTTTCCTTTTTATCCTACTTTATTCTATTCTCTTCCATCCTTTTATCCCATCTTCTTTCCTATTTTATATAGGCCTATTGTCAAACAAATTTTAAAAAATGACAACTATACAACCAATCAATATGCATAACATATTGTCATATGGTAAGCCTTTTGATTATTAATAATGAAAATATCAAAACTTTTTAAAAAAGAAATCAAAGCCATGTAACATTCTACATTTTACCTTCTTTAATAATAAAACAGTACTTGTATTTTGAGATGGTCAAATAAAAATAAAATAAAATGTATCAAACACTGAAATAAAACATTCTATGGGTTGTTATATTTTGTGTTATTGTGTTTTAAATTCATAATTTTTTGATATATATTTCACATTGTTTTCTTCATTATAAATCTTATTGTCTATATTATTACTTTGCATGAACTTATCATTTTGTGTATGCATTAGAAAATAATAAATAAATAAATGAGATAGTATAGAATTGTCATTAGTTTATTTCCTTATTGAAATTGCCAATTCCACTCAGAATGGCGACAGAATTCATAGAAAATATTAATGGATATAAAATAAAACTATAAGTAATCTCATTAATTTAACTGAATTTCTTTATTAATCAATAGTGAATATTTAAAATTACCGCCTTCTATTTTATATTTTGAATACTATATAACTGAATACAGAAATTAACCTCAAGATTTGGAGCCACTATTTTTCCGAGTATTCACAAATCATTCTGAAAACTATCATAGGTTCAATGTCCAAAAATCTATTTTAGACATATGGCGACAGAATTCATAGAAAATATTAATGGATATAAAACAAAACTATAGGTAATCTCATTACTTTAACTGAATTTCTTTATTAATCAATAGTGAATATTTAAAATTACTGCCTTCTATTTTATATTTTGAATACAGAAATTAACCTCAAGATTTGGAGCCACTATTTTTTCGAGTATTCACAAATCATTCTGAAAACTATCCCAGGTTCAATTTCCAGAATCGTTAGAGTAATTTTCCAACATTATTTAGCATGTATGATGTGTTTCAAAGGTCATGTGACTCCGGTCACCAACTGTGTCTGTTATGAAGAAAAACAACATATGACAAATAAATAATTCAAATGACAATTTTGAATGGAATTTTAAATGAAAATAATAAATCACATTTTAAATAAAAATAAATTACACTTCATTATGAGATATGATGTCTATTTTAAATCTATATAATTTTATATATTTCATCCTTGTTTGACTTTATAACTTGATATAACTTTAGACACATGTGTCAAAAGGATAGCAAAGAATAAGTTAAATACAATGTGAATAAAAACCTTATTCACAGTGACAAGCAACAGAGAGATAATTACACAGTAACAACAGACAGTGGAATGGATAGACCATGGCAGACAATCCTCCTGTAAGCAGTCATTTATATGCACAAGGACTACTTTACACACATGACCAATGGCTTAACATCCAAGACAAGGACCTAAGAACACAACCAATTATAACTTAAAACACAGAGAAAGGCCTGTAAATAGTTAGAATTGCAGATAAACAAGCAGCGACATTTAAAATTAAGATTGCATATGCATGAGTAAACGATAGATGTAATGGCGCATGCATTGAAACAAGCTACAGATGAGCTTCATTAGGATAGGTCTCGTTATAATTAACAATGACAGACAATGACCCTCCATTACTCAATGGGCCCCAAAAAAGGTGACAGGGTCCAACCAGTGGTTTACAGATATTATGCCTTAAATACCCCGTCCATCTGCATAATCCAAGATAATTCCCTTGGTTATGAAATACGTATATTAAGTATTTCTCATTTTAGATAGATGAATTAAATTAGTGGTATTATCAATAATATCTTGAAGCACAGATGTGACTTTTGTAAATTTGAGCAGAATATATCACAATATGTATCAAATCTTGGAATTAATTTCTTGTTACTAAACATACCGTAATATAAATCTACTGCTGAAGGCAGCACAGAATACGTATCTATGTTTGCTTCAGTGTGAATACTTGACCGCCATAACATCACAAAGACATTTTCAAGTTACATCCAGAGCATATTGCAGCAATATTAGTAGGCTACTTGGCTACCTAGTGCAAGGTGGAATATGGACAGCTACATACTTTCAGACAGAAACCTATGTTAGCTTTGTACAGATATACACCATTAACATAGGTCTGTATTTGACAAGAAGACACAAACAAAACACACATAGGAGTAATCAATCTTAAAAAACACTTACCACACTAACTGTAAACACACTCTGATCAAAATCTTACGCAGCTTCGCTTGATTACTTTTTACTAGATTAATAACTACTTTGAAGACATTATCGTAATATTCAACTCAATAATGGCACTTATGATGAGTTTGAGTATTCATCAGAATGAGCTAAGAGAGAAGTTTAAGCAAGGATCTCTATTCAATCCATTTACCATTTTATAGAAAAACTCTATTTAATCCATTTACCATTTTATAGAAAAACTCTATTTAATCCATTTACCATTTTATAGAAAAACTCTATTTAATCCATTTACCATTTTATAGAAAAACTTTGTATTACAATGAAAATGAAATTAAAAAAAAAAAAATCAATTAGCAATAAATGTCAAGGTCTGTAAGAATGTTACAGGAAGGCTGCATTAACAGGGATAGATTAAGAGAATTCATTTCTTCACTTCAATCCAACCATTGTATAACACCATTTTCATATTTGTAAATTTAATTCTAGTGCAGAGTCATTTTAAATCTGGCAGGGGTGGTCTTTTTTATTCCTCCACGGTTTGATCATTAAGTAAGAATGGGGGGGGGGGGGGGGGGGGGGGCAGAGGAAGGAGTTGAGCCACTTTCTACATTTTTCCGTAATTCAGTTGAAGGAAACAAGCTCAAAACTGAATGTTGCACAAGAAAACTTGGCAATGTATCACTACAGTTTGGCAAACATGCTTTATAATCGTTCATTAAAGGCTCAGACAATAAATCATGTTTTCAACGAATAATCATAACATGTATTAGAGGGTGTTTGGAAGATTCACAGATCAGTCCAATAGGGATTTACTATGGAATTATGTGTATGCCCTCTAGCCATTTTGATGGTCTAGGGTCCAATGTTCAACTGTCAGATTTAAATATTAACTATCATTACACCTTTGGAATGTTAAACATTTTTTTCTTATTGCAACCTATGAATTATAAATGTATTGTACAGCAATCCTTTAAAGCTTCATTCATGGCACTACTGTATTTCACTAAAAAAAACATTTATTTTTTAGAAAAAATGCATATGCATTACTCTAATTATTATAAACCATGGAAAAATACTGTCATAAAAAAAAAAAGTAGACTATTTCTCATAGGAGATTACCATTTTCTTAATAATGACTTCTTCGTTACTAGGTAAATTCAGAGGTTGTAGATCGCATTTACTGGAATGCTCTCGCCTGCT